TATTCACAGCAGGAGGTAATGCTTTTCCGCCCACTTGGACTATCAAGTCCGCGCCCTGCGCTCCATAATCATATATTTATTGAACTCGGCCTGTCGTGCTGTGATTGACTGGAGCAGCTTGTGCTTGTGTGCTCTCACACGTCTTCTGCGAGTCAGCAGCAGCACAACCAGGTATTAGGTAATTCTGTTCTTTATCCACAGTCGGCCTTACGCAACCATTATGAAACCACTGAGAGGAGGAATCAATCTAGCCGCTAGAGTTACTGTCCATGTGTGAGAAACGATGGTGACAATTGCGGCGCTTAAAGTGCTCTTTTCTTCATGTTAGACGCTTACTTTACCCACAGCGCTCTGTTTAACCAGCTCTTCCCCCTCTCTCCCTGTCCGGCTGTGCAGAACGTGTACGTGAATATCAACCGCATCATGTCAGTGGGCAACCGGCTGCTGGAGTCGGGTCACTACGCCTCGCAGCAGATCAAGCAGATCTCAAGTCAGCTGGAGCAAGAGTGGAAGGCATTCGCCGCAGCACTGGATGAACGCAGCACGCTGTTGGAGATGTCAGCCAGCTTCCACCAGAAATGTGACCAGGCGAGTTGAAAATGGAGCTTACAAATGACACTAAAGCTTATTGTAATTACTGATTCATCTGGGGAATATTTAGTTAATTGATTAATCTACAAGATGTCCCTGAGCCCTGATGTTTTGTGTGAATAACCTTTTCCAAACTGAAATATATTCAATCTCTTCTCACTCATTTGAAAGGCTCAAAACCAGTTTTTTTCCCTTTTAAAAATGTTTTTTTCTCCAAGTTTGCAAGAATGTAGAACATTTTTCCAGCCCTTGACCAGACAAAGCAGTGTTTATGTTCACAGCAGGACTTTAGGAAGTAGCTGCACTCCGTTAAAGAGTAGTCCTAAACTCAGCTAAGCAGCTGTAGCTTCATATTTGTGTTGTTGATCTTCTCGTCTAAGAACGCAGATAAACATAATTCCCAAAATGCTTGAACTATTCCATTAAGTCAGGTATTAGTGGTAGCTGAATTCAGTAAAACTCACATTAATGCACCTTTGGAACCAGGTGAGGTGTTGGCCTTCAGTATCTCAATGGATGCTCATGGGACACCTATGCACACACCTTCTGGGATGTAAGAATTCTCATTCGGCCTCATTAAATCTATAAAGCACAACATATGCATCACATTAACATATATTTACATACACAAATGCAGAATGTAAGTGCGGCATTTGTTTCCGGCTGCTATTTCTGTCTGCGGTCATTAGTCGAGCCACTATGGAACGATTCACGGCCCGAGAAAGCACACAAGCAGAATCCCAACCAGGGAGCATGGGTGGTACGACTTTTCCGACCTGGAATATCGCCGTCATCAGACCAGCCTTTCATGCTTGTGAGCTGAAATAGAAAATGCTTCTTTTTTTTCCCGAGAGGTTTCACCCCAACCTTTTCGCCTCCGCACATACCGAGAGGCTCATTTTAAATCTTTGTTCTACTTATGTACCTTTCTCTAATTATCATGGGAGAGATGTTTGATAGGGAATAATTAGATCCCTTCAACGTGTGATATTTCTTTGAGGCCAGCCTCGTTGATTGTTTTGTTTTCCTCCCCTCCCACTGGGGAGTACTGAAACTTCTGGGATCAGCACACTCAGCCGTGTATAATTCTTCTGAAAAAAACTCAGACTAAGGACATTTCTGCATCCTAATAGTCTGGTATGTCTGACTTACACGTGACTCAAGTGAGGAGCACAAGCATGTAAACACCTCCTCTGTTTCATGCCATGTCTCATGTGACATGCTTTACATCCGAGTGTCAGTTTGTGTAAGTGTGCGTTTCTTCCCCCGCAGTACATGGGCAACGTGGACTCGTGGTGTAAGGTGTGCGGCGAGGTCGATTTGCCCTCCGAGCTGCAAGACCTTGAAGACGCTATCCACCACCACCAAGGCCTGTATGAACACATCACTGCTGCCTACTCCGAGGTAACGGCAAGGAAATCTAAAATAAATTTACTTTACCATGGGCTGTATATTTGGCAGCAATATCCTTGTTATTTCTGTTTCAGTGAACAAGAGTCACAATTAGATTTATTGTGTTATTAGAACATAAGTCACAATAACGATACAATAACCGTTTAAACTTTGAAATTAAGTTCACTCTCACAAACTCTGGAAAATGCAGCTCTCATATTGTCTTGGGTAGAATTTAATTTTGTAGGATGAAGTCAAAACTATAGCTATTGTTAATATATATATATATATATTATCATAAATTCATGATTTATGATCTTTCCAGCTAAAGTCTGCACAGTACTACGCTGTACTTCAATGTGATTTAGAATAAACTACTGCTTGTACTCTGTTAATATTTCATTTTGTGAACAACTTTTTATGAGTTCATGTTGAAAGAAAAGTACGTATATATAAACACAGATATAGTTTGAAGATAAGTCTTTTGATTCATGGTATATTGTGCATGTACATAACATTATCTAGCATGCACATATGCGCCCACACACACACACACACTGACTGTCAACAATTGGTAGTTTTATAACTGTTTTCGACCCCCTCATTTGCCTCCCTGGTGAGTGATCACACTGACAAATATAAAAGGAATTGCAACTGTACAGTGCTAAAAACACAGTTTCTCACTAATTCCTCCTTTGTGGCTCTTTAATTTATCATTTCCCTCTTTGAGTTTTGAGTAATTGTGACATCAGAAGAGTGCTTTCTCCGGCAATTATCCACACAGCTTGCTGGCTGTTGGTATTTAGATGATGTTTATATTTCTAGGTCAAGTCACATACAAATCATATTTACACCAGAATACTTTTGGACTTGTATTTTCATTGTTCATGCTTTTCTCTTTCTTTAATTGTTGTGCATAGTAGTTGTGGGTAAAAACTTCATTTTCTACCTCCTCCTCAGGTGAGCCAAGATGGCAAAGCCCTGTTGGACAAGCTGCAGCGGCCGTTGACCCCGGGCAGTGCTGATTCACTGACGGCATCGGCAAACTACTCCAAGGCTGTGCACCACGTCCTGGACATCATCCACGAGGTGCTGCATCACCAGAGACAGCTGGAAAACATCTGGCAACACCGCAAAGTGCGGCTGCACCAACGTCTGCAGCTCTGTGTCTTTCAACAGGACGTCCAACAGGTCAACACACGCAGACACACCTACACATATTGTATATATGTTTGTGTTTATATATGCGTGCACACAAAATGTTTAAACGTGGTACTTCCAGGACCAAACTTTTTCAGTATAAGATTGAGAGGGTTAGACAGTAATTTGAAAATAGCAGGGTAGCCTACTGGTTAGAAGCGTTCTACTCTTAATAGAGGGGTTTGATCCCAGCAGCAGCCATGTTTCCCATCATAATGTCCTTGAAAAAGTCGCTGGAACGTCGTGTCTTCACTCATGTGGTTCAGTGGAAAGGAAAGATAAACAAATGGCTAAAATGTAAGTGTTCTCTGCAGAATAAAGGCTCGAAAAGGAGTACAGCGAGCCTGCCGTCATCAAATAGTCCCAATATGATAATACAGGAGCATGCCTCCCCCAAAAAAAAATCACGGGGCATTCCTGAGTGTGTTGACATGGCAACTGTTGCTATGGCAACTGAATTGGGTCATATGTCCATGCAGATGCAGCGTTCATCCATTAACCCTGTGAAGGACGGAATGCAGGGAGAGGAGTGTGAAAACGAGCTGCTCGGTGCAGAGCCTCGTGCGACGCTGATCTTTATTTCTGTCATCACTCTTCTCTTACACACTCGTGTGTCTTACTCTACCGCCTTAGAGCGCCCCCTGGTGGTTGCCTATTTCCGAGTGAACTGTTTCACTTTATGGTCGTGTGGTCTCTCTGCACAGGTGCTGGACTGGATCGAAAACCACGGCGAGGCCTTCCTCAGCAAACACACAGGTGTAGGGAAGTCCCTCCACCGAGCCCGAGCGCTACAGAAACGACACGAGGACTTTGAGGAAGTGGCACAGGTAGCCAGTTCTGTTTCTGTAACTCTCCCCCTCCACCAGGTTTAAGCCAATACCACTGAGTTGACGGATGTATTCCCTAATGGTAAAATAGCACATAGTCACCAGTTACACAGCTACAAGAAAGTAAACTGTAACATCTGCTATGAAATTGTGTTTTCCTCATTTTATTTGTTCCTTTAAGTGTCGTGTTATGTTTTTAGGCAGTTTAATTTCAAAGTGAGTCTTTATAAACTTTTGAAAGAATAAATTATACATTCTTTGTCTATAAATGAAAAGTTTAATTAATTAGCAATAAGACACTCCCTTGCTGAATTCAATACACCCCGGGGTTTGGCTTTGGTATGAGTAGTTGCCTAAATTAATTAGCTAAAGCTTATTGGCTAGCTAAAGCTTGCTTATGTCAGCAAACCTAACATAGATATTTCTGTATAACAGTCAATACTTAATGACTCTTATTCATTTATGCTACGTTACAGTAGGTTTTAGCGTAAAGCTTTATCCCAAAATATCACATCTGGCTGCAGTAGTCTGGCTTTAA